CCCCCGGGGGGGGCGGGTACGGCTCTGCCCCCCCTCACCCGCCCCGCACGAGGCCTGGCTCAGTGAAGTCGGGCCCGGCCCGGGGCGGGATGGAGGGAACTTCGTCTGCCTCCTGCGCGGGGCCTGGTCGTGTGGGATGGGCTGTATGAGGGGGGTTGCCTCGGGCAGGGGCTGGGCTGGAGCAGCGCTTCTCATCCGCTTTCGGACCAGGCCCAGCGCCCCACACTCCCGACCCCTCAGCGTGAGGGGGGGTCTGGCAAAGCTTCCCCCTGCGAAGGGAAAGCCACCCCACCTTTTTCTCCTGGAAAGGAGATCCCCTTTTTAAAATGCGTTGTTCCCCGCCCCTTCGCTTTTGGGTTGAGAAACACTGGAGTAAACGACCTTCCCTCCCCGCTTCTCTGCGTCCGGCTTCATCGATTTCACGGACGCTGGGGCTGCGAGGGCCCCCCTGCCCGAGGGGCAGGACGTCAGCGGGGTCGGAGGACCCCACGGGGCCAGGTGAGCGTCCCCGTGTCCAGCGTCGGTGCTTGCACCACTTTCGGGGGGGGGAGTCTGATCCGGACTCTGGAGACTCGGACGGTAAAGAAGTGTTTCCTTATGTCCGGTCTAAAACGGTTTTCCGGCGGTTTGTGACCGTTCGACCTCGTCTTCCCATGGGGCGCCCGATTCCTGGTGCACCCCCATGTACTTGCAGGCCGTCCTCGGACTTGCAACACAATGTTTCGACTTAAGCGGTTTTTGTAATTTGGAACCGATTTTTTTTCCCATAGGAAACAATGTTATAAATGAGAGATTGGTTCCTGAACCAAGGCCCGATACCTTATTTTCACCAAAAATAACCCAGAATTTTGTACTCAATCAATTATAGATGAGTAATATAGCTACATTAATGTATTTATATTGTAAGTAACAATCGTATTGATTTGGAAGGACTTCTTTGAGGTGACTTTGCTGAACTTTTTGACGGGCTCTTGGCTGGAGTCTTCTCCTTTTTGACGGGCTGTTGCTTGGAGTCTTCTCAGAAGTCTCGGCTGCAGGTTTTTCTGTAGTCTTGTCTGCTTCTTAAAGAAAGTGTCCAAGGAAGTTTGGACAGACGTTCTCCAGGGAGATGAGCGACACAGCGAACTTGTTCACCAGCGTGGCATTGGATCAAGCGTTGTAAAGTCAAACCTGACGTCATAAAGTTGAAACAGGGCATCAATTTATAAATGTTGTAGCGCAAAACGTTGTAAGCTGAGGACTGCCTCAGCAGTATAAGCTTGAACACACAGGTTTGGACACTTTGGATTCTGACGACGTTTCTGGGTTTCTCTTGTGAATCCTGTTTGTACACCTCATAAGGCTAACACTTGTGTGGCATCCTGCCGCATCCTTGAAGGCATCTCCAGGTGCCCCAGGGTGCTGCAGGAGCCTGCTGGAGAATCACCGTGTTAGTTACAGCTGCCTCGCAGAGAGCAGCACCTTTTGCCGTAGCCGGGTCTTCAACATTGTTTTTAAGAATGATCCCAAAGTCAAGCCCTGGAGGCAGGTGTGACTGGTGCCTCCTGAGTCTGGGGGGGCACAATTTGTGGGTGTGCCCTGGGGCGGCCCAAAAGTCCTGTATCCACTCCTATATTTCTGTGCTGCAGCTTAGTGCCCTCCTCCTACGCGCCACCGGCCTGCGCAGCAAAAAAACTGCCTCATCCTGAGTGGTACCAAGTTGGGGGGCCAATCTCAGGGGAGACGCATGCCTCCCCTACCAGTCACCTGTGCCTGGAGGTAACCAAGACAATCACATCTTTAACGTCCTGTGCTAGTCGTGGAACAGGTCATTAGTCTGCTTCCAACAAATCTAAAGATGCACAAGGATGGCAATGCAAAATTATTTATTATTTGTACAGCTGTAGTTTCTGAAGGCCCCATAGGTATCGCTCTAGCATATTTCCCAGAGCTGTTTATCTCTAGGGAGTGACCGGTAAGCTGAAGCTTGCCTGAGATGGTGGCTTATTTGCTGCATATTCCCTTTTGTGTGTTGTGATCTGTATTAGAGCTGGAAGAAAATTAAGTAGTGTATGCATTGAAACAGTAATATGAGGGGTGACAGTTTTTGGTGTAGGTAATTTGGCATGGTGATTAGTAGCGGACAGCTAAGTAATGTTTCGTGTGGTACCATTGTTGTTGCTCCAGAAATGTAAAGCCAAATGCAGTGAAGCACTTAAGTACATCCAGCTGAGGGTTGATCTCAGTTGGACAGCTGAAGGATTCGATGATCTGTCCTTTACCCCTCTCCTCTTCCTGGAGGTTGCAGCCCTACTCTCATTCCTGCATGAATTTATCTAATTATCTTTTGAACCTGATTAAATTGTTGGCCTCTACTATAGCTGTACCGATGTATTGGTCCATATCGTATTGGCACCAATAAAAGGAAAATTGATGTTATCGGAAATTGGCTTTCTTTGGCCAGTGTAGCCGATAATGTCACCAATAAATGCTTTGTGCATGCGCACAGCCGCAGCATGAACACAGTTTTTTTGGCCCTGTTTAGCCGATAATGTCACCAATAAATGCTTTGTGCATGCGCACAGCCGCAGCATGAACACAGCCGGGAATGCATCCCAGCAGCTTGGAGAGCAGCATCTTGCCAGTAAGTCTGTGTGGGGGAAGGGATGTGAGGGGTGCAAATCGAGGCCCCTGCAGTGAGGGAGAGAGTGGGGTGGTGCTGAGGCAGAGGCAGGCACTGCCCAACCACAGTGTGGCAGGGCTTGAGAGGGAGCTAGGGGCGGCTTGGGGAGGGGGGGAGGGATGGGGGCTGCTTGTTGCAGGCTCAGGGTCAGGTGCTGCACTGGCCTCTTCCTGAGTGGGGGTTGCACTCGGAACAGGCAGTAGTGGCACTGGGAGAGTGGACTATGGCAAATTTTGGGGTTGCCGTAACCTACCTGTAGCCCCCCCTCCCAGTACTGCCACCGCCCGTCCCGCCTTCCTGCCCCAAACGTAGCCCTGGCCCAGCCCCCCGCCCCCACCCTGGAAGAGGGTAGCGCAGGCCCTGACCCTGAAGCAGGCAGTCTTCCCTCACCCAGTGCACAAATCTGGGGGGTACATGCCCCTCATGCCTCCCCCGGGGGTGTGAACACGCCTCCGGACAAGCCACCTGCAGCTCTGTTCCACATCCTGCCCTGACACCAGCTGGGCAGCACCTGCCCCAGCCCCATTCCCTCCCTTACTGTGGGGGGCCTCGATCTGCCCCATGCCTCTTACTCCCTGCAGACTTATCAGTAGGACGCTGCTGTCCAAGCTGTGTGTCAACTATTGGATCGGTTTTAGCTGATAGGGCTGGTTAATAATCGGCCAAAAAAATATTTATCGGTGCACCCCTAGCCTCTACAACATCTAGTGGCAGCAAGTCCTACAAGTTGATTACACATGGTGTGGAAAGGAACTTCCTTTTCTTAGGTTTTAAACCTACTCCTTTGATTACTGAGGTATTACATAATGTCACTCATGAAAAGGTGATATTCTATATTAAATGAGTTTAGAACAAACTTATCAGAATAACCCCTGTGTTTTTTTAACAATAATTGTATTGCTACTATTGTGCTTTAGTTCTGACACTAGTTTTTTTATCATACCAAGTTATCACAAGAGCTAGGACTCAATGATTCATTTATGTGGTTTATAGGAACATCTAGTTAATCTTTAGATTGTAAATTATAGGAACAGTAACGCTTAGGTAAATCCAAGGTATGAGGCATATCTCTGAAGTTGCTGAATGTGCCTATTTCCAGATTTCATGACTGATGGTATGACAAGCCCATGTGTGCATGGGCTGTGACTACACATTTTTGTGCACTGTTGTTCATGTGGTAGAGACCGTTTTGGTTATAACTGGTAAACACGCATTTAATTTTGAAGG